ATATATGTATATGTATGTATTCTCTGTTAAAAAGGATGAAGACACATAGGGAAACATTTCAATGTAAACCATTTATGGATTGGAAGTAATGTTGGTTTTAGTTATCTTTGTAAATAGGTAATTAGAATGGTATGAAAGGTAATGTGATTATTGCAAGGGTGTTTTAAAATCCTGTGTATAAATTCTTGGATAAATTCTAGTTTATCAAGACTAGTTTTTAAGGGACCTTTGAGGGTATTTCTTATTTTGTGGGGGAAGGGGGTTAATCACAAAGTGTATGGGTTTGGGTTATTTCTTATTTTTATTTTTCTGTCCAGAAGAATTTCATAGAGCTTTACCAGGCTGTGCAAAGTAAAATTCTTCTCAGGCAACATTTGCTTTTTAAAATAATCATGAAGAGCAACGTTGTTAAAGCAAAAAATTTTTATTTTGTTTTTCTCGTCTTCCAAGATCCGATTTCCCCATCTCCCACTTGCCATCCAGCAGATGCCATCTGTCATCTAAGCTGGTCATTACTAGTAAACAAGGAGACTGTCTCCTGACAGCCAGCACTGTGTATAATCACTCAGGAACCAGCGGATCTGCAAAGACTTACAATCAAAAGCAAATCCCCGTTTTCCTTTTATAAAACATTCTACCCTCACCTCCAATATAAATGCATTAAAAATATAAAAAGTGTTTAAAACCATGTACTAATAAATTCATTGTATGTTAGAATTGCAATAGAATGGAGAGAAATATTTAGCTAGTAATGTATCTGGAAACTCAATGTCCTATGTGAGTATTAGATTTTGATAGCATGCTTTAAAGACTGATGAATATAAAAGCAGAAGTTTTTAATTTGCTGCTTTCAAAATTGTATCCTAGTTTAGTGATACAAATGATTGCAACTTTTCTAAATCACTAAATTATTTGGTTTGGTGGAGTGAGGCATGGAGCAATCTGGCGTCTTCTGATTTGTAAAGTTGTGATGGCAGTGAAATTGTAACTGAAATTTAAGCAGATCTTCCTTTTTGGTATATTATCTGTTGTGCCAACTCTTGAGATTACTTGCAGAATGTGGGCTATAAGCTTTATGGAGAAATGTGGAGAAGAGGGAATTTTTAAAATGTGCTTACGGAAAGGATCTAATAAATGAATATTCCTAATAGTAAATAGAATGAATTTATGGTAGCCATTAAAAAGGATAAAAGTCTTCCCCCTGCCTCAAAAGTCATTCTATAATTACCAAACTAATGCTAGAGTAAGATTATGATTCCAAGAGATATCTCAAATTCAGACAGCAATAATAAAAACCTACATATTCCCTCCTCCAAACTTAAAAACTTAAAAATAAATTCCTAAGCTTAACTGTACTTTTAATTTGCTTATTCTGTACTTAAAATTTGTTTAACTGGTACATTATTTTTAGCTAAAGACTTAGAAGTGCCCTGTCCCCTCAGAGACAGTTGGACTACTGCAAGCTCTTGTAGGGAGAAAATCAGCTTATTAAATAAAGTTTTTATTAAACCTTGGAAAAGATGTCTTGCATCATCAGTCTTAGTAGGCATAAAGGTCATTATGAGTGGAGAAACTTTTGCTTATTTGCCTTTCCCTATATAAGTATTATTGTCTCAAAGCTAATATAGGAACAAGACTCCAAAATCTATGAAAATATACTCTTAGTGAATATATCATTAATATTAACCCGTTATATTTTCATCTGTATTAGCCATTAAAAAGTTATTTGTATTTATACCTTTAGGAAGATTGTATCTTTTTAATGTTTCATCACTACTACAGGTTTTTAAACAAGAACCTTTCAGTAGCACATGCCAGAGATTCACATTTTTGTTAAATTTTGTTTTTAAAACAGGTTTTAGCTGTTTATTGGTCATGGAAGTAAAGGAAATCACAATACGTGTTTTTCCTAAGCGCATAAAAGAATTCATCCTCATCCTGAAAGTTTGTTGCTCTGAAAGCAAGTATCTCTCCAAACATATGGCCTTCCATTTTCTTCATAAATTTTTTAGGATCCACTTGTGCATGTAGTTGAGACCACTGTCTCTTAAAATATAGCACTTTTCAATTTTCTCTAAAGAAATATGTACTGCTTCTATCACATGTTGTAAATTTTCATGTAATAGTGTTTTCTCTGACTAAACTCCATTTTGATTGGCAGCTAAGAATTTTTTTCCTGTGGCTTTAATTTATCTAAGAGGTCTTTGCATATAGATGAAATGTATTATTTGCCTGGCGGACTATTTGCGTTGTGTGGCCTTAGTTTGTTTATTGACATTAACAAGTGTTTTAAAAAAGTTTTTAATGAATAGTCTTAAATCCAAATTTGTGTGAATAATAATCCTTTTAACACAGTGCTTTTTTGTAGCTGTCTAAGTGTGTTAAATTGTTAAGCTATTTCTTTGTAAAATAGGACAATGGAATGCATAGAGGTTTTTTTCCCTGTAAAGTATTTTTTTAATAAACAGAGTCTGATTTGTCCTTTACTAATGTTTCATTACAAAATGAATAGCACGTGTGAATTCTAGATACCAAAAACCTGTTTTCTTCTTACGTTCTCTATCCCATCATTAAAAAAAAATTTTTTTTTTAAATCTTAGACTTTCTCAAAGAAATGGTCATGGATGGAGGGAGGGAGGGAAGATCCATCTATGTTGAGATGCAGCTAGTTTTGGGAAAGAAGAAACTGCCTTGTGGCAGTTATGCTTCTTGCTGTTTGAATTGGTTTATCTGTACTTACAATATTAATTTTTTTATTTTGGTGATGTAGATATTCTTGAAAAATGTACAGAGTTAATAATGAAAGTGGTGTGTATACTTTTCAGATGTCTATATATTGTGCGACCCAATATTTTGGTAGTACCGTGGATTTGAACGTAGTGGCACTCAGTAATCTAAGCTACATCCGCAGAGCTACAAAGTAGTATCTTTTTGAGATGGGGTCATGCTAAATTGCCCAGTCTGGCCTTAAACTTGCAATCCTTCTACCTCAGCCTCTAGCGGCTGGGGTTACAGGCATGTGCCTAACAAAATGGATTTTTTTCCTCTCATCAGTTTTTGTTTAGTAGAAAGATAATACACAATACTGGTGAGAAAGCAGGCTTGTTAGATTGAATACATTGCTTAAAAATACAATTTATTAGGAGGAGCAGGGATTCGAGTGCAGTTCTGGCTTTGAAGCCTCCTTGCCTTACACAGTGGCAGCCTTAGCCCTGAAAAATTTTTAAGAAGGCTCCTAAAAATGGTGTTTCTTTCCATTATTTCCCAGCACCATTTACTTAACAAGTTCCTCCACAAAGCCCTCCCACCCCCCAAAAAACCTCCGTGATAACAATAAAGTAAAATGGTTTTGCTAGTAATGTAATTTAGATCTTAAAGCAAGTTGTTTTTTGTTTTTGGTACTGGGGATCAAACTCGGGTCCTTGCGCTTAGGAGGCAGGTGGCAGCACCACTGAGCTAAATTTCCAGCCCAAGTCAACTATCTTGAAAGGTTTTTTATTCATCATTTCAGATGGCTATGACTTGAAACCCAGCAGAATTGTAATGCTCATGAAGGGAAAAGCTATCAGCCGGCAAGAGCAGTAGGAAACCACCGCCAATGTGGGTGAAATAAGTTCAGAGTTACTTTTATTATAATTTTCCTCGTCGGTATAATGATTGTTGAATGTGTGTAAAATGTTTAACACCAAGTCTCCTAGGCTTCCTCAAGTGGTAGTTATTAATCTGTAATTAGCTTTACCTGACCCAGATGCTCCACGCTGTGAGCAAGCTAAGAGTACACCTTCAAATAAAATGAAGAAAAAAAAAGGCCCTCAGGATTAGTGGCAGGTGAGAAAAATCGAATTGGGAAGAGGAGGAAGAAAACAGTGTGGAAACTTTAACATCGTTAACATTCATTTGAGGGTTGCAACCGTTTTCCCCAAGACCTCCACGGCCTGCTTGAATTTTTAAATTCCTCCGGCCACCTTGCCTTATTATAATTTGGGAAAAGCGATCAGTGACAGACCAAGCTCTGTCCCTCCTCCTCCTCCTTTACAACCCTTGAAATCCATAAAGCTCAAGTCCCAAAGCTGCCTGGGGCGGAGAGGGAGTCACTAATTTGCAGCCCGCCAGGCCCTGCGTTTCGCCGCAGTCGTTCACGGAACCAGCAGAGAACCTGGGTGCAAGCCGGGCAGGCCCCACTCCGAGACCCACGGGGCCGCAGCCCGCTGGGCAAGACCAGTATACAGTAACGAGACAAAGTGCTACGAGGACGCGAACCAGAGCTCGCTGGCTGGGAAAGTCGTTTCTGAGGAAGTGGTTTTTCAGCGGGACCAAAGGTGCCCTGGGGAAGCGGTCCAGGCCGCAGACAGCAGCGCGGCGCCGCAGCCCTGCGTTCCGGAGCCGGGACCGGGCAGGCAGGGAAGGC